GGAGGTGGACACCCTCTCTACCTTTAAGATTAGACTTAAGACGTTCCTTTTTGATAAAGCTTATAGTTAGGGCTGGATCAGGTGACCCTGAGCCTTCCCTTAGTTATGCTGCTATAGGCCTAGGCTGCTGGGGGGCCTCATGATGCTCTGAGTTTCTTTCCCCTCCCCTCCTGCTCTGCTCTGCTCTGCTCTCCTCTCCTCTCCTCTCCCCTCTCTCCCTATGCTTCTATATGCAACCATTACTAACTTTGTGTCTCCTCTCTCCCGTAGTGTGTCCTCTCTCTCTCCCTGTACCTTTCTGCAGGTTGCCCTGGCCCTGGAGCTCTACGTCTCTGACGAGCAGTCATTAGCCACATCGACCTGATCAGTGTTTGATTGTTGTGTCTTGTTGCTTTTCTTCTTTTGTCTCTCCTCTATCCACTCACCCCAACCGGTCGAGGCAGAAGGCCGCCCACCAAGAGCCGGGGTCTGTCGGAGGTTTCTTCCGTTAAAGGGAGTTTTTCCTCCCCACTGTCGCCAAGTGCTTGCTCAAGGGGGATTTGTTGGGTTTTCCCTATGTAATAATAGTGATAACAGTAAGGTCTAGACCTTACGTTGTAAAGTGTCCTGAGATGACTTTTGCTGTGATTTGGCGCTATACAAATAAAATTTGATTTGATTTGATTTAAATGTCAGGAGTTGTGAAAACCTGAGTTGAAATGTATTTGGCTGAGATGGATGGAAACATCTGGCTTCAGCTGTACATGGAACACAAGAAACCTGGTTTTCCATGTCCCTGTTTACACTTGAACAGGTTCCAGGTTTCTGGTCACATATGTGCACGAGTCCAGTTTCCTTCAGACAGTTTTTCTCCAGTTTTCCTCAACATGAACTCTGTCGGTTTATCATGTTTAACGTGTTGATTGCCATCAGATGCTCTTCTGACTAACTGGCTGATCGATTAATTGATTAGTCAAGAAAACAATTGGGAGACTATTCAATAATGAAAATAATGTCTGGCTACAGTCTTAAACCTCATCGACTGAAACTAAGCTGTCTTCAACTTTTTGTCTAAAACTATTTTTATTAAAAAACTAAAGCTAGATGAAGTTCGGGTCACAACTGGACCCTCTGCCAGTCGGGTTCCTCTCTGCTGGTTTCTGACCTGGTGGGCTCATCGAAGAACATGACCGGTGGATTATTGACGAGCTCCAGAGCAATGGCCAGTCTCTTCCTCTGGCCCCCCGACAGGTGAGACGTCCTGGTTTTAGCACAGTCCAACAAACCCAGAGCCATCAGGATCTCCTGGACCTGAACACACAGAGATCAGAGACCATATCTGTGTTCACCCTCTGAGGTCAATGCCAAGACCAGGAAAAGTAGTCGGGAAGTCAGCACTCACCATTTCCCCGCGAGTCTCCACCTTTTCCTGCAGCTTTAGGCTGGCTGAAACCTGCAAAAAGACACAAGGGTCACTGCTGCAGCATTGGGACCTCAGCACACTGACACAGGTCTGGATTAAAGAACCTGAACCAGACCCCAATAAACTAGGCTGCATAAACCTCAATGAAACAAGATCTGATACAGGTACAGTGGCACAGTTCACTCAGCTCATCCAGCCTCTATCAGCCCACAAACTCTCCCTTTGTCCCAGACCAGTCCGGCCACCTTACTGCGCTCACCCACTCCCCAGTTCCAACCCTAGTGATATACTGGTCTCTTGCCACTACGATGTTGCCTGGTGTTGCTTTACCTGCCTGACTTTTGTCTTTCCCTTTGGACTCATGTTGGATTTTGGATTTCTTCTAAAACTTCTAAAATCACCACCTGTGGATCCTTTGGACCGGCCACCCCTACACAGGGCTTAACAACACCTAATAATTCTCTCCTGGTTAAGTGACCAACTAGTTCACAAAAACAGAAAAGATTGTGAGAAAAGTCACCACAGTTCCCCAGAATCTAATGGCATGCTTTCCCAACAGGAACAACCTAAAAGGTCTTCAAGTAATTAGAAGGAAAAACACCAAACTGTCCTGGTCTGAGCTTCCTGGTCCCTACAGGGTCAGTGCCGGTCCATACCATCATGGCCTCCTGTACAGTGAGGTGAGGCAGCAGCATGTCATCCTGCATGATGTAACAGGAAACCTTCCTGAAGGAGCGCAGGTCTCTGGGATGACTGTTGATCAGGATCTCCCCCTTCATCCCGGTTTCCCTGTTCAATCACAGAAGCACATCAATACAGACTAATGAGACAGGACCAGACTGTTGTTACAGGTCCAGACTACTGATAGAGGACCAGGCTACCGATGCAACACTTTGAACTGCCTGTGTGTATGAAATGTGCTTGACCAGTGCTTTACTGATTCAGTAAATCAGAAGTCTGAAACTTGTTGGCAGGACCAAGAAACT